GTCGAAGTGGGGGAACGCGGTAGCGCAGATAGACACCCGCCACAAAACTGAAATCGTCCGTTCAAATTTAAAAAAGTTGTTGTTAGTCGGTTAATTATTAACCAATTTTAATCTTTCTTTTTTTAATTTAATGGTATTTTTTCTCCTCTTTTCAAAAATAAAATTGTATTTTTAATAAAAAAATTTTTTCTCAATATTTAAACAATTTTTTTAATAACAAAATTTTTTCATTAAATCAAACAGTTTTAAACTTTTTTTTAATTGTATATAATATTAAGTCTTTTTGATGTTATTTTATCTTTAAAAATTATTAAAATTATTTATACACATTCGTGTAGCTCTATGTACTTTTTTTCATATTATACAAAATTATATTTTATTTTAGTTTACTAGTGATTTTCTTGCTTTTTAAATGTGTCTAACACAAATTATTATTATCATTATTAAACTATAATAAAATATAATTTTTCACATTATAAAAAAAGTTAAACAGTGTTACATGAATGTGTAAAAATAATTTTTAAAAATAAAATAACATTAAAATGCTTAAAATTATGCGCAATTAAAAAAATGTATAAAAATGTTTGAATTAATGAAAAAATTGGATTATTAAGAAAAATTGTTTAAATATTAATAAATAAATTTTTTTATTACAAATATAATTACATTTTTGAAAAGTGGAGGAAAGATACCCAGAAATTAAAAAAAAAGATTAAATTCGGTTAATAATTAATCGACTTGCAACAACTTTTGTAAATTTGAACAGACGATTTGAGTTTGGTGGCGGGTGTCTATCCGCGCTACCGAATTCCCCCACTCCGACGTCAGGAGCAAGGAAAAATCATGAACTCCTTAAGCCCACTTTATAAATAAGAAAAAATTTCCTACAATGTTTACAATTTTTTATCTTATAGTCCTAAATCAAGCTTTAAGTACTGTAAATTTGACTAAAAAATATTAATAATTATAGGGTCAAGAATTTTTTGAAAATGAAAAATTATCTCCTGCCCCCCTTTAAGCTACATCGTTTTTCTTTTTTTGAAAGTTTTGTAAAGAAAAAAGAAGTGCAATGGCCTTTATGAGAATTCGATAGAGTAAAATCTCGCCGAGTAACTGCAATTGTTTACAACTAAAAAACGTACCCTTTTTTCTTTATCCATAATTATGAAATTAATTAATGAATTTCAATTCTTTCTTTTATGTAAATGATAGTATTATTCTTGAAGAGTAAAATAAAAAAAATTGAATTCGCTCCATATCGTTCTGTAGAAATGAGGTTGAAAAACAACATGTTTTTAATTAAAAAATGGAAAAATTTATAAACTATATATCCGATTGCGTTCAAAGTTTTTTCATTTTGTTTAGTATTGCGAGGGGCAAATTTTCAAAAAGTTTTAATCCAATCGGATTATTATTAACAAAGTTATTAAACAATAAATAAAGTATTATTTTTAGTGGTTCAATTTCAATAACTTTAAAACAAATAATCCGATTTCAACTTTCGACTTACCATTTTGTAGGTATTTTTAATACCTTTTCTTTTTAATAACAACTTTTTCCTTTAAAATTTAAAGGAAAGCAACTAGCACCAAAAAACCACGTTTCACCAACTTTAACCATTGTTTATAACAATTTCTGCAACCCGAAATCTAGAATTACGATAACTTTATTTCTTTGTAAAATATTTCGTTTTTTATTGTTATTTACCTAAAATTGAACCAAAATACTTTATATAAGGTTTTTAGATGCTTGTTGTTAATAAAAAATGAAATAGTTTACAAACAAATAAAGTTATCGTAATTCTGAACTTTCCAATTGAAAGTTAAAGTAATTTCGTATGCAACGAGCCCTATATGAAGTATTTTGTATAAGTAGATGGTTAATAAACAATTGCAATGTTAACTAATTGTTTATTAACAGTCTACTTATCCAAAATACTTCATACAGGGCTCGTTAAATGCAGAATTATGTCAACTTTCGTTTAGTCACGTCAGAATTACGATAACTTTATTCGTTTTTAAAATATTTCATTTGTTAAAAACGTTAATTAATTGACCTATATGTTTTCGAAAGGTTTTTTTGTACTATTTCGAATGGTGAAAATTTTTTTTTTAATTCAAAATGTACCTTTTTTTTGAAAATCAAAAATATTTTGCACTTTTTTTCTCTTTTTTTTATCTTCAAAATGAAGCTTAAGAAATATACTTTCAATACCAAAAAAAATAGAATGACATTGAACGATTATACCACGATTTTGTTTGGAACGTGTTTATTTAGTAAATAACAAAATTTTATATAATTTTTTTCATAAGTGTCACTGACTACTCTAGCAGGTAAACATTTGTTTGATTGTTTATTAAATCATACTTTTTATTGGTTAGTTTTTTAGTGTCATTTCGCATGGAGGGTCAAGATGGGATATGGAGTTTATTTCATCATATAATTTATTCATAATAATTTATATATTTAATTATATTTATTTATATATAATTTATAAGTAAAAACGTTGAATAGTTTTGTATAAATGTTTCATTTTTCTTGTAGAATGGTAAAAAAATTATGAAAGAAAGACAAGTAGAGAAAATTGGTCAGTAGAGAGCATGAAAAATGCGGTGGGTGAAAAATGGGTTTCAACTTAGCAGCAAAAATATTTTCTGTCCCTCAAATCACTTTGGAAAAAAAGGTGAAGGTGCAACCTTCATTATCGAAGATTGCAAGCAATAATAGATTGATTTTTTTGTAATCCCCAGACTGCTTCTTAGGGTATCCCATCTTACCCCCAGGGGTAGGCAAGATGGTCATATTTCACTTTTCCACATTTTGTTAATTTTATAATTAATTATGTAACAAATGTTCCTAATAAGACTGTGCCACGGAAGTCTGATTCCCAAAGATGATTATTGTAACAAATAACAATAGTATAAATAATAGTATAAATAACAATAACATAATAGTAATGTTAGTTTTATTGAGCTGTAAACGTTAACTATTTCATCTTCCCCCTTAATTTACTATTAAAATAAAATTAAATACGTTAAAAATTTTAAAAAAATTGACGGGACCGAGAATCAAACTCGCAAAAAAGCAGGATAGCAGTTAGATACACTATTCACAAGACTAACCAGCCATGGACAGATGCTCACGCAACAGAGTATATGAGGTGGGTGTCAATTTTTAAACGTGTTTTTCTCGAACAAATCGAAATCGTGCATTTTAATATTTTACAAAATGAAACCTTCTATTATAAAGTTTTATTAGGTATACCTACTAAATTCCAAATTTTATAAAAATCGATACTTCGTAGTGTTCCCTTATTTGTCAATATCACTTTTTTGTTCACAAACATAATATATGGGGGATCCCAGATGAAGTGATCAAGTTTAAAATTTTTTTTCTTCGATCACGCTTAAACTCGGGTCATTTGTAGTACTCAGATGTTAATCTGTAGTAAAAATATTTTTTCATTTAATCCCATATTTTTCGATGGGGGGTGAAAGGGTTTGGGGCTTTAAGGTTCACAGCATGCTTTTATAACTTTTTTTCGTAAATAAATGAAAAAATGGAACAAAATGTTAAAATATGAAAAAATGGTAAAAAATGTTAGTTGCCAATATTTAAACATTCAAGTCCCATTTTTTCAACTAAATATTATTGTAGGAAGAAACCTCAGCTTTCAATTTAAAAAAATGTACATTTTACCCCGAAAATTAATTTTGAGTTTCATTTTTTTAGTCAAAAAATTATTTTTTCAAAAATGTATATTACCAATCAAAAGAGCATCAAAAAAGCTTTCGAAACTAATATTGATAAAAAAATATTATTTTGATGAGAAAAAAAAATTATCAAAACTTACAATGTACCGTAAAACCCCAAAACTTTCATTCCTCCCTTTCGGAAAATATAGGACTAAATAAAAAAATATTATTACTGAAGATTAACATCTATGAGTACTACAAATGCCCCGTGTTTTAGCGTGATCTGAGAAAATTTTTTTTGAATCTTGATCGCTTCACCTGGGATCCCTCAAAAATATTTATTTAAACTGTTATTATTAGATAAACGATATTTTTAAAAAACTTATTTTAAAATTAGACAGCTTTGTTAAAACCGATTATGTTGGGCGTTTTATATGAGAACGACATATAATGTCTTAAATTTTCCTTAACTTTTGAGTTTTGAGAGACATTTTGATGTTAAATAAGTATGTAAATTTTGAATTAAATTTTTAAAATATTTTCAGAGATATTTGCATTAAAAAGTTGTTCCAACATTTTTTTTCTGATAACTTTTGTTGTTTTGATCCTACAAAAAAAGTTCCAAATGTTTTTTACTCTAAAAAATTTAAAATTTATGAAAAAAATTATTGTAATAAAAAATTATTAAATTAACTTAATTAAAAAATAAAATTTTATTTTACGTTTTGAACAGGTTCTCCCTGTTCCTCAACTCTGAAAAAAATTATGAATGAAGTTAATAATGTTATGAAGGCTTCCTGAAATTTCCAGCTTGCCCTTTTTTTTCAAGATGAAAATATTTAAAGATTGAAATTTGTGAGTTGAGCGCGCAAAATGATCATTGTAACATAGGCCCTTCAAAAATCCGCACCGCATGTGATCGTCGTGCCGGCACGGTAAGCAATGGGCCCATGTTACAAGGATCATTTTGCGCGCTAAACGTTTAAAACGTAAAATTAAATTTTATTTAAATATAAATCAATTTAAACATTTTTAGAGTTAAAAACATTCAGAACTATTTTTTAGGATCGAAAGAACAAAAGTTATAAGAGAAAGAAAAAAAAGTTACAACAATTTTTTAATGCAAATATCTCCAAAAATAGTAAAAAATTTTAATTAAAAAATTACATATTTCTTTAACACCAAAATGTCTCTCAAAACCCAAAAGATAAGGAAAGTCTTAGACATCATATGTCGTTCTCATATAAAACGCCCTATATGTTTCTATAACAATTGTATCTACACTTTTCAGTTGAAATTTTTTACCTGCGAACATGAAGCAAGGCCAACGACAAAATAAAGGGTGAAAAGGCAAGCAACGAATATCTCACGATTATTTCCAATTAAAGGAAATTCATCACTAAGGGCAGTAATAATAGCTTCAGATCCTCCAAACTGAAAAACAAAACATATTGATTAAGTGGGCAAACTCGTGTAAATATAAATTTTTCAAGATTTTTTTCACAAAAAAGTGGTAAAATTTTTCTTGAATTGAAATACAGCATACCATAAAGTGTACAACATAAGCTATATATAATAATAATTATTTTAATTAACCCCTTCGGTGTAGAGATATAATATAACCAAATGGTCCCAAATTGTGTAAGACATTCTTGTGAATAAATTTTCATGACACTTAGTACTAAGGGGTTTTTGGGGTCGCTGATTACGAATCCGATGTTAGTTTTTCAAAATTCAACTAGGAAGGTCCAATATGGCGGATGATTATTAAAAAGCATTTGAATAATTGCCTACATATTGATAAAAGTTGTTACGTATAATACAGAATCCTTTAAGGGAGAGAGGTGGTCCACTTGCCCTCCGGGTGTAAAGTATATATACACATATATTTATTTAAATCTTATTTAATTCTTTTTATTTTATTTTATTATACTTAATCTTTAGGGTTAAAATTAGAACAAAATGTATCGGGGAACGATACATGGGCATGGAATGTGTGTGAGTGAGAGGTCATCATGGCTTCAGCAAGAGCGTCTCCCGACACGTCCATCAAGGTGCACGGCTCCCGCTCGACTGACTCTCGCTCCCTCCACCGTACCGCGCAGGCGCGGTGGGAGGGGGTACCACTACGCGCTGATTGGCTCCTACCGGCCGGGAGGGGGAAGACTCACGCTCTCCACACGGCCAGAGTACATAAATATGGAGCATTTTCCAGGCAGTCAAACAGATTTCTCCTGGACCTTGTACAGCAAAGACGTGTGCCTCGCTCTCGCCTCGCTCCAGCCGACTCCACACTCACACCAGTCCCGTTGTCGTTCCCTTTAGGGAAATTTTGGAAAATAAAGAGGCGTTAAACCGCAGTACAGTCTTGCTTTCATTGCCTTCCTAGAAGATCGCCTCCTCTAACCTGCCCTTCTCAGGGCAACTTTATTAAATCCAATCTGCCCTTCTCAGGGCAAACCGACGTAGAAATTTCTTTGTTGAACTTTCGGGAGCCTTATACCGACTCACAGGGTGGATCGAGTAGCTCTAACGAGTCTGTTGAGTGTACGCGTGTTACACGCCTAGCTTTCCAGGACACCGACTTCAATCATCGGCCCTTCTCAGGGCCACCAAAACACTCTCTACAAAGGAAGCAACCAAAGTTCATTTCAAACTTTGAGCCCATTGCCTTCACCTGCGGTGATTGGTATCAATATTAAATTTTAAGAGTGAGCCACCCCAAAAACCCCCGGTTAAGAATTTTTGGGGAAAATTTATCGACTTAAAATTCTTGGCGGCCATATTGTATCAAAAATTATGTATTTTGAATATCTGTCTTCAGAATCGTGATCAGCGACCCCAAAAACCCGCAAGTAACAATTATTAAGAATAAACGTTAAGATGTTTTGTTGTTGACCATGACGTGTATACACGTCATCCCCCATAAATGTAAAACAAGTTCATTACATTTATAAACTTAGTTTAATACAGGATAAAACAATTTATTTTTTCGTAAGAGCACATAATATGACTTGATGATTACTCAAAATCGACTGATTTTCGAAAAACGATACAGGCAGAAGTACAGTTGATCAATTACCCCACTTTTGTCAAAAAAAGAAAAGAAAGGTAGGAGTTAATCCAGGTAACAATTTCCGCAAGTTACAGTTTCTTAAAAAGGTTTATTTTGACCATTACGGTCGATGTTTGAAATTTACAATTACCAGATGCTGACAATAGAGTAATAAAATTAAGCCTTCATAGATTTGAAGATTTAGAAAGTTTTCAAATATTAAAGATAGTCTTAAAATACAATTGTAAAATAATAAATTAAATTCTACGAAAGTTGAAAAATGCATGTTTCAAAAATATCTTTAATTTGAATATAATAATCGTAAAAAACAAAATCTAGTTGAACATCACAACAGTTGTTAATTTAAACGAATTTAGATAAATTATTTCTGAGTAATTTAAACCTAAGATGAAAAAAATCTTTAGAGGGCCCGCGTGGAAATGGAAGTATGGGCAAAAGATGGCAAAGTATGGCCAACTATGGGTTAAACATGGCCAAAAGCTGACAAAGTATGGCAACAGTATGGCAAAAGTATTGCTAATGACCGAATCCCATAGTTAAAGTATGGCTTCAAAAAAAAACCATTTTTTTCAATTCTCCAACTATGGGCGAACTATGGGCCAAGTATGGCGAAGTATGGGAGACAAAAAAATCATTTTTTTCAAATTCTTCAAATATGGGCGAACTATGGGCCAAGTATGGCGAAGTATGGGAGGCAAAAAAAATAATTTTTTTCAAATTCTTCAAATATGGGCGAACTATGGGCCAAGTATGGCGAAGTATGGGAGGCAAAAAAAATCATTTTTTTCAAATTCTTCAAATATGGGCGAACTATGGGCCAAGTATGGCGAAGTATGGGAGGCAAAAAAAATCATTTTTTTCAAATTCTTCAAATATGGGCGAACTATGGGCCAAGTATGGCGAAGTATGGGAGGCGAAAAAAACACTTTCTTTAAAAATTTTTGAACTATGGGCGAACTATGGGCCAAGTATGGAGAAGTAGGGGGGGCGAGAAAAACACTTTTTTTAAAAATTTTTGAACTATGGACGAACTATGGGCCAAGTATGGAGAAGTAGGGGGGGCGAGAAAAACACTTTTTTTAAAAATTTTTGAACTATGGACGAACTATGGGTCAAGTATGGCGAACTACAGAAGGCAAAAAAATCATTTTTTCGCCTCCCATACTTCGCCATACTTGGCCCATAGTTCGCCCATAGTTCAAAAATTTAAAAAAAGTGTTTTTTTCGTCTCCCATACTTCGCCATACTTTACCCATAGTTCGTCCATATTTGAAGAATTTGAAAAAAATGATATTTTTTTGCCTTACATAGTTCGCCAAACTTAGCAAATAGTTGTAAAATTGGAAAAAAATGATTTTTTGCCTCATATAGTTGTCAAACTTAGCTAATAGTTGTAAAATTAGAAAAAAAATGATTTTTTTGCCTTCTATAGTTCGCCAAACTTAGCAAATAGTTGTAAAATTTGAAAAAAAATGATTTTATTTGCCTCCCATACTTCTCCATACTTGGCCCATAGTTCGCCCATAGTTCCAAAATTTAAAAAAAAGTGTTTTTTTCGCCTTCCATACTTCGCCATACTTGGCCCATAGTTAGAACTATGGGCCAAGTATGGCGAAGTATGGGAGACAAAAAAAATCATTTTTTTCGAATTCTTCAAATATGGGCGAACTATGGGCCAAGTATGGCGAAGTATGGGAGACAAAAAAAATCATTTTTTTCAAATTCTTCAAATATGGGCGAACTATGGGCCAAGTATGGCGAAGTATGGGAGGCAAAAAAAATAATTTTTTTCAAATTCTTCAAATATGGGCGAACTATGGGCCAAGTATGGCGAAGTATGGGAGGCAAAAAAAATCATTTTTTTCAAATTCTTCAAATATGGGCGAACTATGGACCAAGTATGGCGAAGTATGGGAGGCAAAAAAAATCATTTTTTTCAAATTCTACAAATATGGGCGAACTATGGGCCAAGTATGGCGAAGTATGGGAGGCGAAAAAAACACTTTTTTTTAAATTTTGGAACCATGGGCGAACTATGGGCCAAGTATGGCGAAGTATGGGAGGCGAAAAAAACACTTTTTTTTAAATTTTGGAACTATGGGCGAACTATGGGCCAAGTATGGAGAAGTATGGGAGGCAAAAAAAATCATTTTTTTTTCAAATTTTACAACTATTTGCTAAGTTTGGCGAACTATAGAAGGCAAAAAAATCATTTTTTTCAAATTTTACAACTATTAGCTAAGTTTGACAACTATATGAGGCAAAAAATCATTTTTTTCCAATTTTACAACTATTTGCTAAGTTTGGCGAACTATGTAAGGCAAAAAAATATCATTTTTTTCAAATTCTTCAAATATGGACGAACTATGGGTAAAGTATGGCGAAGTATGGGAGACGAAAAAAACACTTTTTTTAAATTTTTGAACTATGGGCGAACTATGGGCCAAGTATGGCGAAGTATGGGAGGCGAAAAAATGATTTTTTTGCCTTCTGTAGTTCGCCATACTTGACTCATAGTTCGTCCATAGTTCAAAAATTTTTAAAAAAAGTGTTTTTCTCGCCCCCCCTACTTCTCCATACTTGGCCCATAGTTCGCCCATAGTTCAAAAATTTTTAAAGAAAGTGTTTTTTTCGCCTCCCATACTTCGCCATACTTGGCCCATAGTTCGCCCATATTTGAAGAATTTGAAAAAAATGATTTTTTTCGCCTCCCATACTTCGCCATACTTGGCCCATAGTTCGCCCATATTTGAAGAATTTGAAAAAAATGATTTTTTTTGCCTCCCATACTTCGCCATACTTGGCCCATAGTTCGCCCATATTTGAAGAATTTGAAAAAAATGATATTTTTTGCCTCCCTTACTTCGCCATACTTTGCCCATAGTTCGCCCATAGTTCAAAAATTTAAAAAAAGTGTTTTTTTCGCCTCCCATACTTCGCCATACTTGGCCCATAGTTCGCCCATATTTGAAGAATTTGAAAAAAATAATTTTTTTTGCCTCCCATACTTCGCCATACTTGGCCCATAGTTCGCCCATATTTGAAGAATTTGAAAAAAATGATATTTTTTGCCTCCCTTACTTCGCCATACTTTGCCCATAGTTCGCCCATAGTTGGAGAATTGAAAAAAATGGTTTTTTTTAAGCCATACTTTAACTATGGGATTCGGTCATTAGCAATAATGCATAGGCGTAACTTTTGACTAGGGGGGGCACAGTCCCAGCGTGCATATTCTGACAGGTATATATTTCTAAGGGAAAAAGGGGCTAAATGTTAAATTTTTGAATAATGTTTTTTAGGCACTAAATCCTCTAAAACGCATATAGATATAAAGATATATATAACGTTTTTCCTATGTATAAATTAATATTATTCAGATTTATTTTTTTAAAATTTATTTAATAGAGACACTCAATTAGTAATATGTTTATTTAATCAAAGTAAAAATGATGTATAATATAAATAATTAATATTACTTTTAATACAGAAATGTAATTGTTAATAATACAAATGAACACAGTCAAATCACAAATCCAAGCTGTCATACTGATATACTGCTCTCATTAACATTTTA